CAACTACAAACCCACCTTCCACCGCTCTCTCCTCCCCACCTGTTGCCACTCCCTGCCTCTGGTTCAGGCCAGACCCTTCCCACCGCTTGCCTCCTACTTCCCCAGGGACCTCACTCCCTTTGACCCCCTTCTCTCCGGTAGCTTCACATCTTCTCTACTGGTTTCTTCTCAGCAAGGTTTAAACAGGGTCGAGTCCTCAGAAATTCCTCTCCTGGGTATGTAGCCAACGGACACGTCCTAGAATGTTCATAGCTTCACTAATTGGAACAGCCCCACATTGGGAAGTGTCCGCACACCCATTATCACAGCGGTTCTCAACCTCTGGCCCTTTAAATACTGTTCCTCATGTTGTGACCCACCCGTAAAAGTATTTTCCTTGCTACTTCATAACTGTAATGTTGCTACTGTTATGAATCGTAAGGTAAATATTTGATATGCAGGATGGTCTTAAGCGACCCCTGTGAAAGGGTCGTTCGACCGCCGAAGGGGTCGCGACCCACAGGTTGAGAACCGCTGCATTATCAGTAGCGGGAGTGGCGAATCCCTCTGAATACTCGGCAGCGGTGGGAATGAGGGATCTACAATAGTATGCCACAACACAGACGATCTCACACACACACCGATGAGTGAAAAAAGCCAGACACCAAAGAGCACATGTCTTTTGCTTCCATTTATATAAAGTACAAGGACAGGTAAAACGAGTTTCTGCCATTAGAAGTCAGGTGGTGACAGGAGAAGGCACGAGAGGGCTGCTGGGATGTGGGCGGTGTTCTGTTTCTTAATCCCATGTTGGCTACACGAATGTGCTGTGAAAATGCCTCCAGCTGTTCATTTATGACACGTGCACTTCTCTGGAGGTGCATTGTATTTTAATAAAAAGCTTTTTTAAAAGCTCGAGTATTGCCCTGGTCGGTTTGGCTCAGTGGATGGAGCGTTGGCCTGCGGACTGAAAGGTCCCAGGTTCGATTCCCGTCGAGGGCATGTACCTTGGTTGCGGGTGCATCCCCAGTAGGAGGTGTGCAGGAGGCAGCTGATCGATGTTTCTCTCTCATCGATGTTTCTAACTCTCTATCCCTCTCCCTTCCTCTCTGTAAAAAATCAATAAAATATATTTAAAAAAAAAAAAGACTGTCCAGTGGGGGAGGTGGAACTCTCAGACACGGCTGGTGGGGACGCACGTGGTGCACCACTTCGGAAATCAGTTTGAGAGTTTTTTTGGAAGTTAAATACATGTCCACCTACCGTACAATCCAGCTATCCCTCTTCTAGGTACTTGCCTACTGAACCACATCTTCTAACAACGGGAATGATGGCCCTTCCGGGTTTCCCCCGGTGCTCCCTCTGCCTTGGTCTAAAAGGGATGTGGGGGAAGTAGAAGAGCTCATCAAATGCAAATGGCTTCATAACAAAGGGGGTGGGGAGTCCGGGGGGAGCTGTGCACAGAACTCTAAGGGGACCGTGTGAACCTCACATCCCCCTGACAGGCCCCAGCAGCCCGAGAGCACCTGTAACCCACAATGTCCTCGGGACAGGAATCCCCTCTCTAACCGTTGGTTTCCGGATTTTCTGATTTTTTTGGACCAATAAAAAAACCAACCAACCAAATGGAGAGATTAGCAAAGGTTATCACCTCTTCTTTTTGCCAAGGGTGGGGTGGGGGAACACAGTTCCACTCCCTCTACTGAGAATGGGTGTGCAGACACTTCCCAAAGTGGGGCTGTGCCAATTAGTGATGCTATGAACATTCTAGGACATGTCTGTTGGGTACATACCTAGGGGAGGAATTTCTGAGGACTCAACCCTGTTTAAATAAATTGCTCTTATTAAAATGATTTGATCCCACTTCCTGTTAACACAATGTGGGAAGGTTATAATCTCAGAATGAAGGTCAGGCCTTCCTTCCTAAGAAAAGGTGGCCGGGACTCTAATATGCCTGGGCTACCCCATCTCCTGCCCCATCTTCAGTCTGACCTCTGGGCTCCCACGTTGGCTCCCTTTGTCCAGCAGACATGATGCTTTGGCCCCTGTCCAGCCAGTGTTCCTCTGCTTCAGAGCTACGTCCCAGCCAGCTCTTTGGGACCAAGGCCTCCATGATTGGGTCATGGGGACCTTTCCCTCTGTGGTCGTTCTCACTCCCGAAGCCCTGGGCCTGGACAGCACTGCCCACACCCCAGGAGATGACTATCAGCTAAGCTTCAATTAGACGCCAGGCAGGCTCTGGGGATGAATGGTGGTCAGGCCAAGACATCTTCCAGGCAGATGGGGCCAGTCATTTCAACGCAGTCAGGAAAGGCGTTGGCTTTAGCACACCTGGGTCTCATCTAGTTTCTGCCACTGACTCACTACGTGACTGCAGGCAAGTCATTTAACCTCTGGGAGTCTTGACTCCAATTCTGTAAAAACGTGTCTAACAATATCTATCCTCCCAGGGCTATTGGGAGGATTCCACAAGGAAGTACATTTAAAGCTTTTAGGCCACTGTCTGGGACAGAGGGGACCCTCCAAAACACATGAAGTCTTTGCTCCTGTTCTAATGGGCCTCAATATCACAATGCTGAAATGATGGGGGTAATCCCCACCCCTGCAAACCTCTCTCTCTCTCTCTCTCTCTCTCTCTCCCCCCGACACACACATGCTCACAGGGTAGCTCTAAGTGGGAAGTACAGAACTATAGATTCAGTCATGCCTTCATTCATTTCCCCATTTTAGCTTTTATTCATTCTCTTATCCTACTAGTTTTCAACCTCATCCTATTGCTTCTGCACATTAGGATAACCTAGGACCATGGTCGGCAAACTGCGGCTCGAGAGCCACATGCGGCTCTTTGGCCCCTTGAGTGTGGCTCTTCCTAAGCCTTAGGAGTACCCTAATTAAGTTAATAACAATGTACCTACCTATATAGTTTAAGTTTAAAAAATTTGGCTCTCAAAAGAAATTTCAATCGTTGTACTGTTGATATTTGGCTCTGTTGACCACTGACCTAGGAAAATCCCAATACCCAGGCAGATCAATTAAATAATTAAGTCAGAATCTTTAGGTTGGCAGTTAAAATAAATAAATAAAAGCTCGGGTATTTTCTCCATTTAAACAACCTCCACAAACATCACCCGTTAGTCCCACTTGGCTCTCCAGCCACGTCCGTTTCTCTCGGCCTCTTCACAGGCAGGTCGAGTTGGTGCCCTGGCTTTGGTGTGCACTGGAATCACCCAGGGAGCTTGTTAAGTCAGGATGCTAGGGTCATTCCCAGAGAGCCTGGCTTTGTCGGCTTGGAGCAGGGACCAGGAGTTTGGTTCCCTAACTCCTAGGTGCTGGCTGCCTCCTGCACGCCGCCTATTGGGGGATTGAGCCCACACCTGGGCATGTGCCCTTGACCAGAGTTGAACCCGGGACTCTTCAGTCCACAGGCCGACACGCTAGCCACTGAGCCAAACCAGCTAGGGCCATTGGCATTTTCTTTACAGCTTCCTGGGTGTTTTCTTTTTCTTTTTTAATCCTCATCTGAGGATATTTTTCCATTGAATTTTAGGGAGAGTGGAAGAGAGAGGGAAAGACAGAGAGAAACATCCATGTGAGAGAAACACGAGCCCCGACCAGGACCCGCGCGGGGAGGAGTCTGCAACTGAGGTACATACCCTTGACTGGAATCGAACTTAGGACCCTTCGGTCTGCAGGCCGACACTCTATCCACAGAGCCAAACCGGCTAGAGCTCCCAGGTGCTTTCAATGTGCAGCCAAGGTTGCAAACTACTGCCTTCTCTAGTCTCCTAGTCCAGTGATTTCTGCAGCTGGAATCCCTACCAGTGATTAAGAAATACAACCAGTATGCCGGTCCTTTCCCTTCCCCCAGTCCCCACCAACGGCATCAGCATCTCCGGAAGTGAGCCTCGGTCATCATGAGCGTTGTTAAAGCTCCCCACGTGATTCTAAGGGGGATCCAGGGTTGAGAATGGCTGCTTATGATGATACCCTCGCAGGTGCATTTCTCGGGCCTTCCCTGGCTACCTCTCCTGAGGTGCGTGTGCTGGGGGAGGGCAGGGAGGAGCTTGGGAACAGCTAATGGTTGGATGTCCCCCGGTCCACAGAACATGTCCTCCAGCAGCCCGGCTGTTCCTTCCAACAGAAGGGCTCCGCAGGCCAGCAGTCCGCTCTTGTCCGGGTCCTTCAGCTGACTTTCCCACTCATCCTCTCCTCGGCTCAGACCTGCTGTGTGTGTTGACTTGACAATTGGCCCCCTGGGCCATGCTGAGATTTGACTCTGATGATAGATTTGGAGACAATGAAGTGTCGTGGGGATCGAATCATTGGTGTTTCCTTGCAAGGTGACTCTCTGTGCGATGTGACCAGGATATAGGTGTGTGTGTTTTAAGTCACTCCCGGTGAATCCAGTTGCAGGAACCACTGAAAAGGGCTCTTGAGCAAGTCAGGAGCAGCCGCGGCAGACAGAGGCGGCAGCGTTAGAGTGAGTGCAGGCCGCTTGCTAGGGCACGTGCACTCGGGGAGGAGAAGTACCCAAACCTTCCGGGGGTTATTGGGTGCTGGCTCTAAGCTGCTAGCTCCCGAGTGCCACTGTGGCCCACTAGTCCACTAGCTAGAAGGGGGACTTTAGGTGCTACAGGGAAATTGGTAAGTCTGATGGAATTCTTAACTTATCCACATGCTCAGATTCCCAACACCAATAGGAAATACAGTTAAAAACAATGAAAATCCGTCTGGCTGGCATGGCTCAGGGGTTGAGCGTCGACCTATGAACCAGGAGGTCACGGTTTGATTCCCAGTCAGGGCACATGCCCGGGTTGTGGGCTCAATTCCCAGTATGGGCATGTGGGGCGTGGAGGAGGCAGCTGCTCAATGATTCTCTCTCATCATTGATGGTTCTATCTCTTTCTCTCTCTCCCTTCCTCTCTGAAATCAATAGCAAAAATATATTTTAAAAATAATGAAAATCCAACAATGTTGTTCAGGGGTCAATTGTAGTCATAAGAGGTAAGTCAAACTGCCGCTGCTATCCCAGGTGATTCTTTATTGGGGAAAATCAACACAGCCCCTGGCAAATGCTTCATTCTCTGTCCCAATAGGCTGAGAATCCAGAAGTCATTTGTTTTTACCTGGCATGCCGCTGCTATCCCAGGTGATTCTTTATTGGGGAAAAATCAACACAGCCCCTGGCAAATGCTTAATTCTCTGTCCCAATAGACCGAGAATCCAGAAGTCATTTGTTTTTACCTGGCGGGGATAGCAGCACACCTTCAAAATCTTGCTTCAGAGTTATGGCAACACAGCATCCGGTGCTCATGTCAGGGGTACACGCTGTGGCATCCGCTCCCAGATGAGGGGGAGACAGCAGTGCCCTCACCAGACATCTCAGCAGCACGATTCTGAGCACTGGTTCTTGCTGCATCTCCCCTGGACTAGTTCTCAAACAGCATCCACTTTCTGTGCGCACAGACCGTTCAGAGAGAGAGAGAGAGAGAGAGAGAGAGAGAGAGAGAGACACACACTAGAGGGAAACAAGCTATTTTGCCTTGGACAACTCATGTAAGCTGTGTGGTTCTTCCTGTTCTCCCTTCCCCACTGGTTGTTGGGAAATCAAATGTAAAAGCATCATGTAGGGTGAAGGACTTTGTACATGTAAGCCAGTCTTAGCTTCCTGACTGACAAAGGGGGTTTCAATATTGCAAAGTGCAACTTATTGAATTGTGGACCATAAGGATGAACTTCCACTGTGAGAGGATGGACGCTGATGCTAAATTGCTTGGAATTTAATCCCAGCAACTTAGTTTACTAACGGTCATTTGACATTGGAAATGTTACTTAAACTCTCTGTGTCATGGATTTTCACCTGTAAAATATGAAAAGAGTATTTCTCAATTGATAACCTAGCTGTGAAATAGCAACAAATTAATACATGAAAAATAGTTTGAAGAGCCTGACCTGTACAAAAAACATAAGCTAACACACATTTTTTTTTGTTTACATTTGGAAGATTGCTGAGAACCTCACGCCATTGGAAGTTCCGTGTGCCTGCTATCTAAAAGGCGCATGTGTAAATCTTTTTGCATTTAGTAGATGCTGTGGGCTTGATTTCTTGTTCCTTTCACCACTGAACATCCTGTGAATGGCAGTGTCTCCCACTCACTTAGCTTATTGTCAAGTCCATCATTCTGACTCTGAATCGTGGGTCCTTGCTGGGCTCTGCTAACAGCTTCCATCAGTTTAATGTCATATAGTTTAGACCAGTGATGGCGAGCCTATGACACGCGTGTCAGAGGTGACACACGAACTCATTTTTTTTGGTTGATTTTTCTTTGTTAAATGGCATTTAAATATATAAAATAAATATCAAAAACATAAATCTTTGTTTTACTATGGTTGCAAATATCAAAAAATTTCTATATGTGACACGGCACCAGAGTTAAGTTAGGGTTTTTCAAAATGCCGACACGCCGAGCTCAAAAGGTTCGCCATCACTGGCCTAGAGGGCAAGGAGGCCATATGTACTCTCCTGACTGCTGGCTCCCAGGTGCAGTGTGTCTCACACCCAGACTTAGAATGGGGGAGTTCAACTCCAGTAAGAGGTCGTTGGTCCGTGTCTTGTCTAAATATTCTTAAAGCAGACGGCCTGAATCTGAAGTAGCTTTGAAGTAGGATGCTGTCCCTTTGCTGGCAGCATCTAGGTCTTTTTTCACTGCTTTTATCTTTTGCCAAAATGTTCCAGTTGCCTTTGGGCCCAGTCCTATCCTCGGCTGAGGGCCTTATTTCACGTAGACACTACTGACTGTAGTGGGTTTACCAGGTTTTCAGCTGTCTACTCTCTATTCTCTTTCCTAATAGCATCGGGATTTTCTACTGGTGAATTATTCCCCTCCCTAACTCCTTCCTGTTGTGTGGAGTTCCAAGATTTGGGGCTGATCAAGCAAAAAAAGCATGACCACCAGGTGGCAGTAGCACCCAGAGAGCTGTATGTGGGTGGTGCCTGGAGAGGGCTGCCTGGAGGGGAAGTCCCCAGTTGCAGAAGGCCTTCCGGGAATGGGAATGGACCTCTTGGGGGAGAAGGGACTGGAGAGGGGATTTCCGTAGGCGTCTAGGTCCCTGGAGGAGGGGAGTCCCTGGTCGGAGGGCTCTGAAGGGCAGCAGTGGCTTGGGGTCTTACAGCCCCGAGGTTTGTCGTATCTATGGCCAGCAGACATTGGATAAAGTTTACAAGGTATGCAAAGCAGGCAGGCACTAAATGGGTAAAAATATGCTTATCCGGGCTATGCTTAAAGCAATTGGATGTATATAAATTTGAGTCTGCCTTCCGTGGTCTTTTGAGCTATCAGGCCCCAGCCTGCTATGAAGAAATAAACACCACAGGGGCCAGTATACAGGGCTCAGCCATAGTCCATTCATCTGACAGAGGCGGACACTGTCAATACCTGCCTCCCACCACTCTCCCCACTACAGAAGCGGAGGGAGCAAACCCCTCCTCTGCCTACCCTGCTGGTAGAGCAAGGACATGCATGTGGCTCAGCCAGTTAGACAAGTTCCCTCAGGGCTTTTCCTCTGGGTGAGTGACTTGACTATTTGGAGACTAGAGTCCTGGTGCACAAAAATTTGTGCACTCGGGGGGTCCCTCAGCCCAGCCTGTGCCCTCTTGCAGTCTGGGACCCCTTGGGGGATGACCACCTGCTGACTTAGGCACGCTCCCTGGGGGATCGGGCCTAAGCTGGCCGTCAGACATCTCTCTGGCAGCCCGGGAGCCCTCGGGGGATGTCCACTTGCCAGCGGTGAGCAGGCCTAAGCTGCAGTCGGACATCCTTAGCGCTGCTGAGGAGGCGGGAGAGGCTCCCACCACCACCACTGTACTGGTAGCCATCAGCCTGGCTTGTGGCTGAGCAGAGCTCCCCCTGTGGGAGTGCACTGACCACCAGGGGGCAGCTCCTGCATTGAGCATCTGCCCCCTGGTGGTCAGTGTGTGTCATAGTGACCAGTCATTCTGCTATTAGGGTCAATTTGCATATTACCCTTTTATTATATAGGATTGCCTGGCCAGCCTGGGTGAGGGGCTGATGGCTGTTTGCAGGCTGGCCACAGCCCCTTCAGGGTAGGGGTTCCCCCTGGGGTGCCTGGCCATCCTGGGTGAGGGGCTGATGGCTGTTTGCAGGCTGGCCAGGGCCCCCAGGCACCCAAGCTCCCAGTGGAGGCTGTCTGGAAGCAGGTATCTGGGATTTATTTGTCTTCTATAATTGAAACTTTGTTGCCATGAGCAGAGGCCACAGCTGGCTCAGGTTAGGCGGGAAGCTTGGCTTCCTCCATCGCCCGGGGAACCAAGCCTCCTGCTTGCTCCAGCTCCGTGGCTGCTGGCTGCCATCTTGGTTGGGTTAATTTGCATATAGTTGCTCTGATTGGCTGGTGGGTGTGGCTTGGGGTGTAGCGAAGGCATGGTCAATTAGCATCTTTGTCTTTTATTAGTGTAGATGAGACTCACTGACCAGCCTGGCCCTACGGAGAGACAGTGCCACCCTCTGGCTTCGTAATCTTTTAGAGCAGGTTTTGTCATCCAGTTACTGAACCACAGAGCACAGAAGTGACTGAGTGAAAATTTCCCCAATTCCTCCCAAAGCTTTTGCCTTTTCTCTTCCTTCCTTCCTGGAACTCAGAGACCCAGGCCATGTGGATGGGAGCTACACTAAGGATGGGATGGTAAGGAGCTACTAGTAAGAGGAGCCTGCGCTCTGATGACTTTGCAACCAGCTATGAGCCCTAGGCTGCCTGTTTTTAGATTTCTTGTCACATGAGAAAAATAAGCCCTTATTTGTGAAGTGTGAGGCTGAAAAAATAGGACTCAGAGGGTGCCATCTTAACGCAATTTTAAAAAAAATATATTTTCATTGATTTCGGAGAGG